CAATTGTTAGATCCTAGAGGGGGGTGAATAGGGTCAATGCTAATCTAATTTTGATTTTATGCTAATTTAAAACTTTTTTGATTAAATAATTCTTGCAAGAGATATATGAATGAGTTAAAATCAAGAATGTAAAATATAAGCACAAGAATGAATATACACAAAGCAAACTCAAGCACAAAGAGATGATTACGGAGTTCGGTCCTCTTGACCTACGTCTCTGCTTCCCACTCTCGTGGAGAACTCCACTAACACAACCGAATTTTCTACGCTCACCCGAATAATGTTTACACCTCACAATATCGGTTTTCTAGCTTACCAAAAATACTACAAAGCTCTCACAATATACATACACAAACTACGACCTCAAGTGTTGGTCCTCACGTTTCGCCTCCCTCAAGTATTCAGATTTACACCTCTCACAAGGCTTCACTCCCGACGCCACTCCTCTTGGTATCGACCTCATCCTCACCACACACTCCTCTTAGTGTAAATGTGTATTACAATGTGATACTCACAAGTTAAGCTCAAATAAAATAGTTTGTTCTCTACAATGAATGAGAACACAATGAAGCTCACTTAATCACTCTCACAACAAAAATTATACAATATGTGATGATACTATAAGCTCAAGTGGTTGTATGTGAAAAAGATAAATAACAATGAAGTTAAAATCAAATTAATCTAGGAAATAAATATGATAAACAAAATAATATAACAAGCTAGATAAAAGAGTTTAGAAAACTTCTCAAACAAAAAGATGTAGATGATTGAGAATGAGCTCCTCAATGTTGAAAGTTAATCCCTTCTCTTTGTGAAACAGTCTTCACATTAACGAAACCGTAAACCAAACTTAGATTTTTGTTTTCTTCAGCTTCTGTAGGCTTCTTGGCTTGACCTTGGACTTCAATAAAAGGTTACAAAATGAGGAAGTTGGAGGTTTTTGTGCTTTTATTTATTATTTCTTCATTAACCTGCAAATTAAGATAAAAATAATTATTAGTAGTATATTTATTCATGTAAAATAGATAATAAGGGTATAAAATCGTAGTAAAAATGTGATTATCACGTAGCATGAACTTCATTGGCATTCAAGATTTATTTAGGACAACATACCTGATGGTTGGCTACTGTAATCTGCTTGATAGACTAGGAGGTCAAGTTAAAGTAGTTACAAGTGATACCAGCATAATTGTTCTCCAGGCGTGCTACATAGTCGATGTAGAAGCCTTCAAAAGAATGAGCGAGCTTCAATACCACTTCATGATATGGCAATAGATTGTCATGTTGAACCTCATACTCCTATTTTATTCAATTGATAATTAATTTAGAATCATTATGTGCTTCAAGAAATTTTGTACCCATATCTTAGGAAAGTTTTAAGCTAATTAAGAGGGCAGTTTACTCAGCTACATTGTTAAAACATGACTCGATTTAATTAGTGAATAGGCTCGAGGAAGGACGTGACTATGGGAATCAATACGTAGTGCCCCCACTCCTGTGACTTTTGACTCCTTATTGCTATGTCGCGATGCGCCGTCAAAGTAGAGTTGCTAATGGTTTTTGATAGTGTTCGATTCAAACACCTCATTTAGAATGTATTCATGGAGCATAGAAGACTTAGGGATAAGATGATCTGCTAGAAAGTCAGCTATGACCTGTCCTTTGACTGTTTTCTGAGGTATAAATGTCATGTCATATATACATTGAATTGATCTCAAATCAATTCCTTGCATACGCAAACATCAAAATATGTTATTTATCACCATATAATATATTTATTATTATTTATCACATAATATTTAAATTTATGGGGTTTTACAATATCGATACCATTATCGATACCCGTAACGATACCTGTATCGATACTTATATAAAAAATCTAACTTGATAGATATCATCATTTCTTTGTGGCCAACCATCTTGAATATGATTGTAGATTTTTATTTTCTTCAACTTCTGTAGGCTTCTTGGCTTGACCTTGGACTTCAATAAAAGGTTACAAAATGAGGAAGTTAGAGGTTTTTGTGCTTTTATTCATTATTTCATCATTAACCTGCAAATTAAGATAAAAATAATTATTAGTAGTGTATTTCTTCATGTAAAATAGATAATAAGGGTATAAAATCATAGTAAAAATGTGATTATCACATAGCATGAACTTCATTGGCATTCAAGATTTGTTTAGGACAACATACCTGATGGTTGGCTATTGTAATCTGCTTGATAGACTAGGAGGTCAAGTTAAGGTAGTTACAAGTGATACCAACATAATTGTTCTCCAGGCGAGCTACATAGTGGATGTAGAAGCCTTCAAAAGAATGAGCGAGTTTCAATGCCACTTCATGATATGGCAATAGATTGTCATGTTGAACCTCATACTCCTATTTTATTCGATTGATGATTAATTTAGAATCACTATGTGCTTCAAGAAATTTGGTACCCATATCTTAGGCCAGTTGTAAGCTAATTAAGAGGGCATTTTACTCAGCTACATTATTAAAACATGACTCGATTTAATTAGTGAATAGGCTCGAGGAAGGACGCGACTAAGGGAATCAATACGCAATGCCCCCACTCCTGCGATTTTTGACCCCTTATTGCTATGTCGCGATGCGCCATCAAAGTAGAGTTGCTAATGGTTTTTGATAGTGTTCGATTTAAACACCTCATCTAGAATGTATTCATGGACCATAGAAGACTTGGGGATAAGATGATCTGTAAGAAAGTCAGCTATGACCTGTCCTTTGACTGTTTTCTGAGGTATAAATGTCATGTCATATTGAAAAAGCAGTAGTGCCTATTTCACGAGTCTAGAGTTTAAGGATCCGGACTTATTGTATACTAGCAAAAAACCCCCGCGTTACGCGGGGGAAATGAAGAATGCATACTCACTACACCATGACAATTAAAATGTCCTGGAGAAATCTAGTAACAACACACACAGTAACCTTCTTGATCTCAAATTCACAAAATTCACCACCACAATTTGAGAACTCAAAGTAGATGTTCCTATATTAGCACCACCACAAGCAGCCGATATCTAGAGTGGCGAGTCGCCGACATTGCCTAGGAAGCAACTGAGAGAAGAACAATTGAAATCATAAGATTAGCCAAGAATTCAGATGAAAGCTTAAATCTAATCCCAAGAGGAGACTTGCTGCTATAGAGCGTGAGAGCAAAGAGAGAAAGAAAACAAAGTGAAAATGGAAAAGAAAAATAAGTAAAAATCGCTCCTTTTAGGGGTTGTTTGGTTCGTTTCCCATGTATTGGGAAATGCAATTCTATGTAAAGAAACCCAAGTTTTGGGTTTTCTAAACTTTTTCAAGAAATGTATTGTTTGCGTTTGTTTCACACATAAAACATGATGAAAAACCAATGTATACATTTTTTTTTGTGTTTGGTTGGCATTAAAAAAAGGGGGGGGGGAACTTTTAGTGATTAGACATTTCCCATTTTTCTTGTATTTGGTTGATATTAAAAGTGTATATGGTAACCATGATAAGTTTACCACTCAGTAAAGACAAATTTGTTTGTGATCGTTAATGGAGGTAATCTTACCAAAAATAAAAGTGCAAATATAACATGAAAAACCAGTAAATAGCCGAATTTGTCATAAATATCTAATTGACATAAAAAATCAGATGAAACATGTAATAATGTGATTATTTTAACTGTTATGAATTACGTACCTGATTTGACATGAAAAATACCTGTTTGACAAAAAAAATCCCACGAAACATATAATAACATGATTATTTTAACTGTTATGAACTACGCACCTAATTTGACATGAAAAATATCTATTTAACAGGAAAAGATCACATGAATCCTGTAATAACATGATTATTCACAAATTTATGAAATACGCACGTGAATTTGTGAAACTTTCTTATGAGACCTGTAAAACCCTATAATCATCTTGATTAGTCATAAATGTTTATATGACATAGAAAATCACATCAAACATGAGTAGTCATAAATATTTGTTGATATCACGTAAAATATACCAGCCACATGTTTATGAATTCTTTGGCTGAGAGCTCAGAACTTAGTCAATATCATCATTGTTAGCCATCCAATGCAATATATCAATAAACATTACAGGTTGCTAATCTCAGAATACTTTTTTTTTGAAGTAAAAACAAGGGTTATACCCCGTTCATTAATAATCAGAATTATCAAAAGATAGTTCAGTACAAAACAAGGACACGAACTATGTCCATATGTTGCTAATCTCAGAATATTTGACAATCATCATAGCTTAAAAGTAAAAAAGTCACCAACTAAAACTCATGACGTAATAATATTTTCATTAATAACCCACAACAATAGCCATCCAATACAATGTAGATAGATTGTAGGTTGCTTACATACAACTTTTTTTAGTTGTCATGTATATGGTGACTTCTAAAGTTCTTACAAACACAAGTTCAATGTAAAATTAGTATTCTACAATCATCACATAATGTTGGTAAATATGCACATGAAACCATAGGTTTATAGTTGAAGCACAACTAAAATCAAAGTCATACAAATAATTACAAGTTTGTACAAGTTTGTTGAGAAGCTGAGAGAATGGTAAACAAAACTGCTCAACTTTAGCAAGAAAAAAACATTGGGACATGTAACAACTATCATATGATAAATCAAATGAATGACAATAACTAATAACATAAATTTTAAACCTAGTGACTTGCGTATAAAATTCTAGATTCCTCATCCCATTCTTTGAAAGTTACCATACATGGGTTATTTTGAATATTGTTTCGGTTGCTACATGGAATACTTAAAAATGAGGAACTTTAGGTGTAAAATGCAGTTAATTGGAACATAATTCAAGCTTGGTAATGAGATAAATATTGTAATTCATGTATGGTACAATTAATTAATATGAGAAATTCACAAAAATAGAAAGAAGATATCCAAGAGTGCAAAGATAATTATACATGCTGGATCATAATTAGGAAGAGATACAGAAGGAACTCCACTGAGAAATTTTCGGTTGCTAACGTAGGCCGATGTGCTACCTGCAAAATTCATGAGATTTTACAAAATTAAAGCAATGATGAACTTCAGATGCAAATATGCAATGAATTGGAAATAGCTTCAAGCTTGATCAGAAAATGTAGAAAATGAAATGCATAATTATTACTGGTTGGCTAGGATAATAAGCCAATGTGTTGCCTTTCAAAAATTGTATTATTTTAGAAACAAAGAATAAACACAAAAAATAGGAATAATGAATTGCAATTGAGAAAATAACCAGACCTATTTGCTCACCATTAGGTACAGGTACAGAAGGAACTCCATTGGGCAAATCTTGGTTGCTAACATTTGCTGTTAATTCACTACGTGATGGATGGAATGAGAAGGAATAATAAAAATTAGCACCATCAACCATGTACATTAACAAGGTGATCACGTATAAACCTGTGATATATGAAAAAAAGAAGTTCATTAAGTCCAAACTGAAGATACCGGCTATAACCAAACTTGGGTACTTGTGGCTTAGCATGTATAAAACTGTAATTCAATCAATAATAAAATCATGGATTAAAATAGCGGTTGATAGTTAAGGTAACGGAACAGCACACATTTCAACCCATTAAAAAATAATTCATATTTCACATCTAAAGTAAAAGATTTCCGTCATAGTTGACCTGAGATCTACTATAAATCAATTAAATTGTTAGCATTTATATTGCAAAAAATCAGTAAATTTGAGTTCTATCATAAATCAACTAAGGGCCCATTTGGATAATGAAAATATTGGAAGTAAGAAGTAGGTTATAGAAGTAACTTTCAAAAATATGAAGTAGGAAGTAGTGGAAATAGAAATTTTTTTGTTTGTTTCATATATTTTTAGAAGTAATGGAAGTAAAATTTTTTCCACTTCATTTAATTTTTTGTTTGGATAACATTTGGAAATATTACTAGGAAGTAATATGATCAATGAAAAGTTGTTAGAAGTAACTTATAAAGAAAATATTAATAAAAAATTATTTACTTCCTAATTAATATGCATTTCAACTACTTCCAAACTACTTCTCAGTATTGAGGATTGGAAAAATATTTTGAAAGTAAAGATGACACGTAGGCGCCACATAAGCGTTTAAGGAAGTATTGAAAATAAGTTTTTTCAAAGAACCAAACACACTTTTTGCTTGGAAGTAGCAAAAATAGCATTTACTTCTTTTACTTTAGCTACTTCATAATTACTTCGGTGCAAACAAATAGGCCCTAAGTCGTTTGCATCTACAATTCAAAAGCATATCGTTAATTGCTTTTAGAAAATGTCTAATCTAACCTTCATTAAAGGATAAATTACACAAAAAATACCCTATTGTTTACACGATAATTGCACCAAAGCACCCTCAGACGTAAAACCCTATGGATAAATCCCTAAAGTTTCTAAAAGTTGCACCCTAATACCCTAGAGTTTCAAATGCAACGTAAACGTAAGAATTTCCCTCGAAAATTCTTAAGTGAGACCACACGCTATTTTAAGAATATTTCAACCCCTTATTTTCTTTTAAATCTATTGTTAAACCTATCAAAATCCTATTTTAAGATAGAATTAGTGTGGACTTAAAATATGGTTTTACCACTGAGGGTACTTTGGTGCAATATTAATTAAACAATACGGTATCTAAGTGTAACTTGCCCTTTATTAATTAAATTAATCGAATGAGTAATTTTTTCCTTCCTTAGGTCCATTTCGTATCCGGCACCAACTCCTCGGATTGGGATCCTCTACTAAGGCATAGTGCCTCCTAATATCTCCTAATGCATCTCCACCTTTCATTGCATAGTACCTCCTCGTATTTTGTCTCCTAATGCATCTCCACCTTTCATTGCATAGTACCTCCTCGTATTTTGTGCTTATGCACAAAATGAAAGGTGGAGATGCATTAGGAGATATTTAGTACCTCCTCGTATTTTGTGCTTATGCACAAAATGAAAGGTGGAGATGCATTAGGAGATATTAGGAGGCACTATGCCTTAGTAGAGGATCCCAATCCCAACTCCTCCTGTACAGCTAGCTGCAAATGCCAAAGAGTTAAGATTAAAATAATATCCAAATCAGGAACGATAAGGTATCTACATACTAAAGACTTCTAACTAAGAAAGATGACTATTTACTCAGGAAATTAGAAGAAAATGCACAAGAAAGGAAGAAAAGGGGAGAAGAACATACCTCCATAAGGATCTAATTACCATAGGTGACAATAATATTGGAGGTGAGTTCTCATGTCATCATCCATTTTTAAAGTATCATCCCACCACTCTTTAACAGCTCTAATCTCCTTTAGCTTTCTGCAGGAGGCAGGTGTGTCGAAAGGAAGCTTCTTTAGCCTCTCACAGTGAGTTACTTCCAAACCCTCCAGAGATGGCAAATGAAGGGTGCAATCACAAATGGTTTCCAGCTCAGGTAAACCAAACAAACGTAGGACTCTGAGACTATACAACGTAACGACACCTGCTGGCTTGTTACCTGCTCTCTCTTTTTCTTCTTCTGCTTCTTTCGTGATCACCTGCTTCAAATTTTCGCAGGATATAACGTGCAGCATTTCAAGGAGTGGTAGGTTGATGAGCCAGCTCAAATGTTGCAATTTATCACAGGACCAGATACTAACGGCACGAAGCCTGGGAATCACATCATTCTGGTCCACCCCCCTCCATACCACCTCCTTTAAATTAGATAAATAACCAACAAATAGCTTGTTAGGAAATGAACCGTCGCACTGGTCGATGACTAGTTCTTCAATCTTACTTCGAAAATGTACCATAGCCAACGAGTCCAACTCTGACCAGGTGAGGTCGTTAGGTCTGTTTGGACGAGGCAATAATTGGAGAGAGGCCGGACCTTCCTCCTCTGCTATACGCCTACGGAGGTCCCAAATGGGCACGGATAATAGACCTAGCTTATCGAGATCTGTTTGTGAGCATGCATTGATGCTGAGACCTTTCAATCTCCCTTTCAAAGAGTCCATATTGTCAACAATCAACCTTTGAGACCCCACTCTAGCGCTGTCTAACTTCAGCACCTCCAAACTACGTAGGCTAGAAAATAATTCGCTAGGTACCTCTGAGATTAGATTGGCCTCTAGTAGCAGGTATTTTAACATCGTAAGTTCTTTCAGTTCCATAGGGAGACTAGCGATCAAATTTTTTGAGAGGTTAAGATATTCTAATTTGTTCAGCTGGCATACCGCAGGTGGGAAGTGATCTAGTCCATTACGAGATAGGTCCAAATATTTAAGTTGATGGAAATTCCGGACAACCTCAAGCTCTTTAAAACCAAGACGGTTTCCTTTGAGCATCAAGGTGTTTAGATTGTGTGCACCCTGGATGTTGGATGGCAACCTGGTCGTAAAGTTGTGCGTAAGCGACACTTTGTGCGCACCCTTCCTTGATTTTTGGTCCCCTAACGCCTTAGCTGGCCCGACTCCTGAAAGCACCACGCACCTCCTCTCATTTGCCCCGTTGTCTCGTGATATCCACAACGCCATATCCCGAATTAGATCATGAAGCCTCACTGAACCTGTAACAAAAGGGTCCACATTCCTTTCCAGTAAGCTGGCTTTCACGAGGCTATCGATTATCTTTCTCCCATTTTCGTAGGCCTCGCCAACAGTATCAAACTTGCCTACTAAGTCATGCCCCATCCAGCATTCTATGATTTCCACTATTGGGATGTCGGCATCTTCGGGCCACAGGGCACAAAGGAGGAGACACTCTTGTAATGATGGATATTTTAGATAATCATAACTAATTTTTAAAAGTGGGAGAGGATCATCCGCACGTGAGATCGCTGGGATTTTTGACTCACGGAGATCTCTGATGGCGTTCATCCAATCACTGACGTGGTTTTTATGAGCCATCGATCGGGCAATAGTAATGAGAGCTATGGGAAGGCCGCCGCACTCGTCAGCGACCTCGTCCGCAAGCTTAGAAGTAATTAGAGGATGAGAGTTGATGACTTCTTCTCCAACTTTCTCCCGAAATAGACGGCGAGCTTTTTCACGGCCCAAACAATCAACTTTTATAGTGTGACGAACGTGTTGGGGATTCGAAACAATCAATCGAACCCTTGCCCTTCCGGACCTTGTGTTGAAAGTAGGAAAGTAGGAATAAACCACAAATAAAGATCTAACCTTGCAAAAACAGTAAAAGAGACGAACACACAGATTTAACGAGGTTCGGCAACGTGCCTACGTCCTCGGGAGCCACACCACACAATCTTTCTATTAATTGAAAAAGAAAATACAAGCTCTCAAACAAGGGGTAAATCTCTCTGAGATTCTCTCTCTCTTAGCAGCCAAAAAGCTCTCTTTTTGATGTCCTTAAACCCTAAAAAACATTTGGGTATTTATAGAATCCTGAAACAAAACAGAGTCCCAAACGGTTTAGGAAACTGTCTGGGCGATTCGCGGTCGACCACCGTGCCAAGGCCGGTCGACCGGCCAGAGAAAAATCTGTTTACAGGGTCCTGTGCACATTTGCGGTCGACCGCAGCGGCCACGCCTCTCCTGCAGTGCACGCGGTCGACCGGATCTGCCACTGCGGTCGACCGCACAGTCTTCTGACTGTTTTCTTCGTCTTTTCGATTGCAGCTTCGGGTCTACACACTTAGACTAACAGAACGTGCATGTCCACGCACACCTGACGTGACCTCGTCGTCAGTATCAGCTTCTGCTTGAGCTCACCAGACGCGCCAAGATGTGGAACACCGACCTGATCGAGATCCACACGCTCCCATAGATCGTCCAGTAATATGACGAAGCTCTTGTCACTTAAGAAGTTGAAGATATTATTTTTGTGATCTCCTAATTCAGGAAGCTTCAAAGCTTTAACCATGAGAGCTTGAACCTTCTCAACCGTGCATTCTCTAGAAGCAGTGACAAGAATCACGCGGTGAAACCCCGATGATGGGTCTCTTGCCAACACGTTGTTGACGTGGTTGAGCACAGTCGTCTTCCCGACACCACCCATGCCCCAGATACCGAGCATCCCTTCCGCGCTGTTTCTGAGGAAGCCGAGCGCCACCTCGACTTTGGCCTCGATCTCTGATCCGGTCTCTGCACCGAGAGTACTGCTCGTGGACACGAGCTGCCCCACAGGCGGAGGGGGATACTTGGTGATTTGGACATTCGTGAGACTGCTCAGCTCATCCACCACTTTGGTCCTGCTATCAATTGCTTTCATGCTGATGGAGTGGTTAGACCAAAGATTGATGGAGAAATTGCAACAGAGGACGCAGCTTCTGTTTCGGTACTCGTTGATGATAGATTCAGCTTCTTTTTCGAGTTGTGCAGCGGACTTGAGCCATCTTTCGGCTTCCATTGTCGCCACCATCCCCGCTGGTTCATCGACTTTAATCTTATCCTCCACATCTCGCCGCTTGGCCTTCAATATCTCAATCTGGCTCTTGAGGGCTCCTACTCTATCACCCACGAAAAGGGAGTAGGATACATGGTCGATGATACCGTCTCTCACTCTTTCAAGGACTGGCTTTGCCAAATCAACGGCTAAGTCAGCCATGGTTAACAAAATTTGATCGAGAAAAATGTAAAAGAGAGGAAGAATTAGTGTTTTGGGTAATGCAGTCCTCTCCCCTTACAAACAACTTGTGTTATATAAAAACCGATTGGAGGAGATCTCGACGAGTTAAAGTCAATGTTCAAGTCTTTTAATTTTATTTTCCCTTGGGTGGTTGGCTTTGGCTTGCAAGTGGGAGCTTGATTAGGTTGGTGCAAATAAAATAACACGTTCATCAGCGCAGATCTGAATGATTAAGTTAACACAATTTTTTTTTTGGTCAATGAACTGTGAATTTTATTCATCTCCCAAATTTGAACATATAAGGTCAAACAAAGCTCCAGAAGCCTGGAGAACAAAAGAAAAAATTACAAACTTTCAAGTAGTTCTTTCATATGTACATGTGAACTATCATTTAGAATTTTACAAAAAATCGAAAGCTTGATATCTCTGAAAACTTGAGCAGGTAGCCTCCTCTTGTCCTGAAAAGTTCTTAGATTTCTCTCCCTCCAAATCATGTATATAGCAGCAGATAAGCACATCCTTTTCAGCTTCTTCATAGGACTTTTTCCTTTCAATTTGTGAGAGTACCAGTGCAGTAACAAGTCCCATGTACAGGACCTCCATTTATATCCCAACTAGCTCATCACCAAGGTCCATACTTCCGCTGAATATTGACATTCAAAAAAGATATGATCTCTAGCCTCTAACTGGTGACTGTCACACAGCACACAGTGAAGTTGATTTGTGCTCAAGATGTTCATTCTGCACAGTCTATCCTTGGTAAGAAGTCTAGAGTGACAAGCTAGCCAAAACACAAAGGCGTGCTTAGGGTATAGAAAGCCATCCCAAACTGTCTTAGCCCAAGCAACTGTATTGGTAGGTTGTATGAGAGCACTGTAAACTGCAGATAATAGAAGCTTGCCATCAGAGCAACAATCTGCTATTTTAGCCGTAACAGCATTCCCAAACTTACTCACGAGCATATCCCTCATTTTAAGGAGTTGCCTCCACATCCATGAGTCATTTGTCTTGGGCATTCGAATTGACGAGCAAAATGTCAATGTTAAGAGGACAAATAGCATTCGAAGGATGCCGGACAGCTAACGCAGATCCGAATCGACCGGTTAAAAACCTCCACGCTTTATGCGAGCAGCTACAAAAGTTTAGTATTTATTTGGAGGAGATAACTATGAAAGTATATGAACATCTATGAGCTACTTGTAAAAGATTACAGAAAAATATTTTTGAGAATGTTTTATTGTGTAATTGATCATAAGGGAACAAGACCGCTTGGCTCCCTTCCACAACATGAGAAGCCTTAAAGTGAGGGATATGTTTCTTCCAAGACAAATGATTCATGGGCATGGAGGCAACTCCTTAAAGTGAGGGATATGTTGTTGCTTAAGTTTGGTAGTGTTGACAATATTGAGGCTGTCATTACTGAATGTTATGCTGCTGACAAACTCCAACTATCTGCAGTCTACAAGTCTCTTATTCAGTCTACAAATACAGTGCCCTGGTCTAAAACTATTTGGGATAGTTGTTTATATCCTAAACATTCTTTCATAATGTGGCTAGTTTGTCATTCAAGACTTCTCACCAAAGATAGATTGGGCCGAATGGGTATCCTGAGCTCAAATCAGACTCACTGTGTCCTGTGTAATAGACAGGAAATGGAGACCAGTAACCACATCTTCTTTGAATGTCAATTTTCAGCTGAAGTCTGGAATTTAGTGATGGAATGGTTGAAATATAGATGGTGGTCATGTGTATGGGGTTTGGTTTTGAATTGGTATTCTTATAGTTTGAAAGGAAAGGGCCCTATGAAGAAATTGAAGAGGATGTGCCTATCCACTGCTGTTTATATGATCTGGAGGGAGAGAAATCGGAGAATCTTTCAAGGCAAAAGGAAGCTCCCTGCTCAGATTCTTAGTGACATCAAGTTTTCTGTTTTTGCAAAAGTTCTTAATGATAATTCAAATGTACATATGAAGTATATTCTTGAGAACCTGTAATTCTTTGGTTTCCAGCTCTGCTGGCACTTAGATGTACTGCTCATTCACAAATTAGAAGATGAATAAAATTAAGTTCATTGACAAAAAAAAAAAAACATGAGAAGCCTTTCCAATTCTTTTAGATGAATTGGTAGGAACGCCACCTCACTAATTTTGTTAGATAAGATATAAGATTAATCTACAGTTGGAAGTTCAAGTAAAATCGAGCATGTGAATGCCGAAGCGATCATGCTGCTACCATGTTAAACTTGCGAACATGTTGATGCACCAGCTAACATATATACATTATCTGTCTATTAAACTACGAAAACAAGTTCAGTTGTGCCACTTCTGTTCCATATATCAACTTGTTTGCAACCCATGTGGCAGATTCATTCAAAAATTAATAATAATAAATAAAAAGATTTTCTAGCCTGTATTTTATTAATATCTTTCATCACTAAGTGGCATTATGTACCTAACTAGTGCAAGACGTGTCTGGTCAACTATTTGCAACCCACATGTGAACTAGCTCCTTAACTTCCTACAGTATAACTAAGGCTAAATGACGCTTGAATAGTACCATAAAGTTTGTTTAATCTAGCACTTAAATATCACAACTTGTATTTCTTAAAAAAAAAACCACAAGATGTCCACCATTAGAATCCTTGTAACAACAATAATTTTTTGTCGTTTGGACGAAAGTTCCCTTCCATCTATATACTATTACTAATAAGTGTTACCCTTGATAACGCCACTTGGCAAAAATGTCACATGGCAAAAAATGCCACATGGCAAAAGTCTATCATTCTGGAAACCACCTCCTCACTCTAATTATTTCACCCACGCGTTGTTCTCCCTTTCCTCAATTCCCCATATTAGCCTTTCACCCACATCCCCTTAATTATTTCACCCACGCGTTGTTCTCCCTTTCCTCAATTCCCCATATTAGCCTTTCACCCACATCCCCTTACACCCACCTCCTCACCCCCTTTTTATTTCTTCAGCTCTAATTATTTCACCCACCTCACGCTAGAAATTTTCCCCCTTTCTTCGATTCCCAAGATCGCCTCTTCGTGTCTGTCGACCAGGGAATCCGTGCTCCGCCTTGAGAACCCAAGCGTCATAAAATTTACCTCGATCTAAATTCCTCCATCGATCCCCCTCGGTTTAAATGCTTAGATTTGCTGCGATCTAGATCTCTTGCTGTCCAATCGATCTCGATCCTATTGTTTTGATCTTAGATCTGTTTTCGTTGAGGTCTCGATGCTTTTCAGTCGGTTGTTCGCGAAGATCTTCAATCGGTTGTTCGCGAAGAATGAGATGATGATCCTGATGGTGGGTTTCGATGCAACCGGTAAAAACACTATCCTTTACAAGCTGAAGCTTGGAGAGATCGTCACCACGATCCCCACCATCGGTGAGCTTTTGGATCTGCTATTGTTTGGCTTTTTTTAATAATAATTCGTTTCGAGATCTAACGATGAGGAGGATAACTGTGACATGTGAATTTAATTAGAGAAAATTTAGTATATTTGCAGTCATAGATTAGGGGTGAGCACGGTTCGGTTCAAACCGAAAAAACCGACCGAACCGACCCGAACCGACCCGAACCGACCCGTTTTATGAGTAAGACGGTTCGGGTCGGGTTGATAATTTTTTAAACCGACCCGGCCCGAACCAACCGAATATATTCCCTTGCCTCAAACCCTACCCGTTTACCAAAAGACAAAGCAAGTCCTTAACTAAAAAATTACAACGTGTCTGGTCAACTATTTGCAACCCACATGTGAACTAGCTCCTTAACTTCCTACAGTATAACTAAGGCTAAATGACGCTTGAATAGTACCATAAAGTTTGTTTAATCTAGCACTTAAATATCACAACTTGTATTTCTTTAAAAAAAAACCACAAGATGTCCACCATTAGAATCCTTGTAACAACAATAATTTTTTGTCGTTTGGACGAAAGTTCCCTTCTATCTATATACTATTACTAATAAGTGTTACCCTTGGTAACGCCACTTGGCAAAAATGCCACTTGGCAAAAATAGCCCATACAATTATAAACGTCACCTGGCAATCACCTCATTTCCCCAGTTCTTCATTTCCCAAGCCGACTCTTCGTTTCCCCAGTTCTTCATTTCCTCAAAACCAATAGCTCTTCGATTTCTCCAATGCCGCTTCGGCTTCCAGAGAATTCGTGCTCCTCTTCGTCTCATCTTTTCAAACGTATTCACTTTGATCTACACAAACCTCCTCTCCTCTTCGTCTCATCTTCTTCTTCATCCTCACTCACTTCAAGAAATCTAACAGAGGGGAGAAAACCCTAACCCTAGCTTTAATCCAAACCCTAATGGCGACGGCTCCCATCTACGGCTCCTCTCTCGAGGAGGCCGAGCTCCGAATCAAAAACCTAAAATCCAAGTTCGCTGAATTATTCGACGGCGATCAGCCTGATCTTTTCGCTAGATCTCCAGGTTGGAATTTTAACATATTTTTGTGGTTCTGATTGTTTTGGTTTTGTTTTTTGTGGAACCGTATCTGATGATGATGGTGATGAGATTGAAGGGAGAGTGAATTTGATCGGTGAGCATATTGATTATGAGGGGTACTCGGTGTTGCCGATGGCGATTCGGCAGGATACGATTGTAGGGATCAAGAAGAGGAGCGATTCGAAGCCGCTGTTGAGAATTGGGAATGTTAATGATAAGTATAGCTTGTGTACCTATCCTGCTGATGCTAATCAGGTACAAAGATTAGTTTTTTTTGGAAATATATTATCAATGAGTTACAAGGGATTTTATGAGTTTGCTAAAGCGAAAGGATTCGATCTGGGCGCACCCGTCGGCCTTGATGTAGTTGTTGATGGGATAGTTCCTACAGGTGCCTTCCCTGTCCAATTATCGCTTTCTCTTTGTAATATTGTTTTGTTCTTCCAGAATATGGTAGTTTTATAAATTTTGTTTGAGCACCGTTGTGTCGTGGAACAAATAAAATTTTGGATATTCTTTTTGTCCAGGATCTGGACTCTCAAGCTCAGCAGCATTTGTATGCTCTGCCACAATTGCTATAATGGCTGCTTTTGATGCAAAGTATCCAAAGGTAGTCGTTTTCAAAATCTTATTAAAAAAAGCCATGTGTTTTTGCAATTTTAATGACATAAATTCAACAGCTTAGTTCACATGTGATAATCAGTTCAAGTAGTAGACTTCGTTCATTCTCTTTCCTTCTTTTGTGGGTGATTTTGGATTTTTAATTTGAAGTTGATAAGAGATACTGAAGTAAGTACCATTGGTACTATTTGATTTATCTCTACCTGTTGTACTGTAGGGAACTTTCTTCTGCTTTTGTAACGTGAACATTCCATAAGCTCCTTACTCTTGAGTATCTGGATCGCTTCTGTATGCCTTCTTGAAGTGATTTTTTCTGATGAATGGGTAGGATCTTTGATTGCTCCTGAAAGAGAGCTTAATAATTATTTTTCCAGTTCACATTCCCTAACCTGTTGAGCTGTCCTGGGTGCACTTTTCATTTTGTAGTCTTTATACTTTATATTGTATGGTTGGCGATTTATGCACATGCATTAGCTACTGGTCTTTTATTGATAGGAATTTAAATGCTAAGAAGTCCTTGCATTTTAATATTTCTTATTCTGTTTTCTGCAGAAAGAAATTGCTCAACTTACATGTGAATGTGAACGCCACATTGGAACACAGTCTGGCGGGATGGATCAGGTGAAATATTGCATGGCTTATTATTCCTTGTAAGCTTGCATTAATTTCATGAAATGCTTTGATGCAAAAAATAACTCTTATATCCTTACTTCAAACTGTTTTAAAGGTTGTACTTTCTGTCATGTACTAAGCGAGGTCGACACGCTTTGGTTTTATGAAGAGTTGAACTTTTAACCTTCTCTTCTGTAAGCTCTTATTGTTGCAGTCATGTATTCTTCCCCTTAGGTTATATGTTCATTAAATACTAGCTTCTGAAGAAACAAACTCTTTTTCATACTCAAGGCCCTCCTGTATGTTATACTTAATGGAAGTAAAATAATCTTGATCATCAACCTCTTGACAGTGCTCCATTATGATATTCTGCGTCATCTTATACTCCGTAGTTTGCGTGCTTGGGTGGAAGTGGTACTAGGATGAGCGACCTCTAGGAAGTCCTTGCTCGGGGTATGAGACACAAATTTTACATTTTGTTCTAGAATTTTTTTTTTTTGTATATTGTTACTAACCTATGTTTTTACACATAAGCTTTTCTTGGATATAGTTATACAGAAGTTATTGGCCTCATATCTTTCTCTTCTACCATGTGCAGAGGATTTAGCAGGGGTTAAAATTCTTCATGGTCTTGATTACTAATTCCGTGAAATCCACCACTCATAAATTGTTGATACTTTTCTTTCTTCTGGGGAAAATACATATGACAATCTTAGTCTAGCAGTAATGATTTCATTGAATCTTGATGTAAAGTCTGTTTGATGTACATTGATATATCCACCAATCAATACAATTTTATTGAATCATAAGGTAAAGTCTTCTATATGTTGTTACAGCTTGCCTCCATAATAACATGCATCTTAAGACATTTCTAGAGATAGTTTAGTCTTTATATATTATAAACTACATTTTTGGTGTAATCTTTAATTAATGAAGTATACCCTATTGAGATATGCTAAATATTTTTTGGGATATTTGTTTTTTAAGATTTAAACAAAAGACTCCTAATTAAGCTAATCTTTTATATGTTGTCGTTTTTTTAGATATTGATATATTACGTATCATATTTCTAAACAGGGTTATCTTATAATTGTTGTATGGTTAAAGAGTTATTTGGAAACATCGCAGTGCACTGCTCTTTTGGATTGTTCTCTATGTTTTGAATCTCGACAGAAACTATATAACATATGTAAGTAAATCTGATTGAATATTGCTAGAATATTTATTCATTTTTATTTAATTGAGATTGATTATTGAACAATTTTAATGACTTTTGTTTCAAAACTTCTCTTCTTATGAATATTACTGAATAACATGCTCTGTATTATTTTAACAAGAACCGTTTATGATTTGATTGAATACTAACATGCCTACTCTTTTACTCTTTTTCAAGAAGAATTCAAATATTAGCCCTTCATGACCTTTATCTATGTTGAAAATTATTGAAAAATCCGTGCATCGCACGGGTCTGAAACTAGTATATTTAATACCTCTTACTGTGAGAGAGTCCCCAAATCCCTCACATATTTACGTTACTCCAAAAAGAATGACCGCAACCTAGAGCTTCAATTTTGAATTTCAGCGAAATTTGGGGAACAAAAATCTATTTGGGATCTTGGTGAAGGGGTTTCATGCTCAAAATTGGAAATTTGTAGTGGAATTAACCTAGGGTTTTTGCATTGATATTGTTAGTTAACAACTAGTATATTTAATACCTGCCGTATACCTATTTGATGGCATGGTATGTATCCCACTGTCCTCTTTTGATGAGTGCCTCATCTCCCTCGGACGAAGGATTCGTCCCTTTCGTACAGAGGTTGGAAGGAGCTACTTGGGAAGGCATATATGTAGTGAGGGTTCGTCAAATCTTATCGAGAGACCTCAATTATCAGCTATTCCGCTGTTTCCCAGACTTTGAAGGTGGTGGATATGGGCAAGTGTTCCAGGATATAGCTGGCCCGGATGGTTTTACCCGTTTAGATGGAGGGGTCTTCCACTGGCTCTTGAACATTAGACCAGGTTATCTCCTCCTTAGGCAAGGTGATAAATGTATAATTGAGCCGTATCAACCGTACACATTTGCTCGGCAATTTGGATATGATCAATTATACATTGGGAATCCCCAGAGTCAGCTTGCAATTGCTGGTAACATATACGAAGGGGCTCGGGCCTGGTACTACGTACTCTACCGCAGGCTGCACCGGAGCTACTTTTAGGTTACCTCACAAGACGCCTAATTCTCTCCTCTCCATTGCTTTCTGTAACTGGTATCACACAGCTTCCAAGATACCTGATTACAAGTTGAATTTGTCGGGGCTACGGGAAATTAGAAAGATGTACTCATCCAGAAGAGGATCCCGGGTATCTCGTCTGAAGGGAATCAATGAGTTTTTATCTTATGAAGGTGAGGCTGAAGAAGAAGAAGGAGATATGGGACCAGAGAGTGCCCCAGTAGCGAGCCCTAAGGCTGCTGAAACTCCAAGAACAAAGGTAGCTGGAAAGAGGGCTCTTATCGAAGAAGAAGCAGTTCAGTACGAGAAACGTACTCGTAGGAAACTATTAGTAGACCTTCCTTCTTAGAAACTAATGGCGGATGCTTTCAAGTCAGCTGGGAGAGAGGAGGAACAAGAATCTGCTATTGCCAATCAACCCCTCCACACAGGACTTCGCTCTAGGGGTCCCGCTCTTTCCAATGAATTCTCTTCTTATCATCCTTTGGATCAAGAAGAGGGCGGGGACGAGTCATTGATTGGGTATGTGGAGTCTTCTCCTACCATGGACTCTATCATTCCACCATTTCCAGGTCAGGCTTCAGATGCTACTCTGGAGACGTCACTTGCAGTGTCTTCTGTTAGAGAGACTAGGCCTCCTACAAATGAAAGTCAATCTCCTGCTGCTTCTGTGTTACTGCCACAGACGGAGGCTGCTATTCCTAGCCCAACGACTGGCATTATGACTAAAGCGGATGCCACTACAAGTTCTCCTGGATTATCGACAGCGAATGATGAGGGACCATTAGACTACGGGACTTCTTCCCATAGTGATGATGCTGATGAGGAGGAAGGTGATGGTAATGAGGAGGAAGGTGAAAGTGATGAGGATAAACATGTTTACTATTGTTTCCCCGTGATTAATGGCCAGGGGATGAGTTTGAAGACGATATGAGTAGCGAGCATTTCACTTGCTTACCTAGCAAGTGTTTTAACTTGTTGATGAATGTTAGACTAGATCACCTCATTGCTAGGCTAAATAGGATGGAATTGTGACGCTCCTGGGTTCACATAAGGCTGCAGTCCAAGGTGAAACCAAGAATGTCAAACCTGTCATGCACTACACCGTGCAATAACATATTTCACCATCACAATTACTATCTCTCTAGTAGAGTTAATAACAGATGTAGGTACAAAGAAAGTAGAAGATAAGTACAAGAGATAACTGAAGAAATGATAGTGATCAAATAGATATTTCATCATCCAACATACTGAAATAGAAATACAAGAGATAACTGAAGAAATGATAGTGATCAAATAGATATTTCATCATCCAACATACTGAAATAGAACTCAATGCCTGAAATGAATATTTCATCATCCAACATACTGAAATAGAACTCAATGCCTGAAATGAATAAACTGAAGTTCCAACAAGTTTCAAATACATAAAGTCTGAAAAAGAGGAAATAAGGCACACAACCTTTACAACTTCTAGAAATAAACCCTCAAAATATCTAAACAAAAGCCTACAGTGGAGCTCAAAAGTAAAATATAACTATAATAGAATAGCTGAAGCTAAAGTGTCTCGCCATCCACCTGCGACTCTCCGGGCTCCTGGCTCGTTACCTGAAAGGGGGAGGGACAACGAGCGTCAAAGCGTTAGCGAGCAACATCACAACCAACCCCAAGGAAAAAGGGCTCGTTGTATACAGAAAATACAGTTATAACATATATATAAAATCACAGATCTTACCTAAGTAATTACAACATGAGCATAAGTACGTCGAGCGAAATAATCCAAATAAGGAAACCCTCATGTATATACCATGTAGCTCAGATTGTAAATACCTATGTATAAGAGGATTTTAGTATTTAGGAAGTTATAACACGAGCGTAGGTACGTCGAGCGAAATAATCCAAACAAGGAAACCCTCATGTATATACCATGTAGCTCAGATTGTAAATCCCTAAATACCAAACCCAAAATCTGATACAATAGCATTAATAAAAGAAGACAAACTCATCTCAGACTTAATTACAGTGTCGTGTCACAACTCATATAAGTGTCATGTCCAACTTATGTAAGTGTCAGTGTAAACTCTAAAGGTCTAAACTGATGTAGTGGATGTCCAACACATGAACTGCATATGAAAACTATCCAACACATGGACTGAATGTGATAAATATCCAACACATGGACTACACATCATAATTGCCCACACACATGGACTAGATGAATTATATAAACATGTGCTATACCCTAATTTCTCATGTGTCTCGGTGCGCAAACCTAAACTTATGTCCGCATGTCATCTCACATATAAAGATACAGATTAAAATAAATCTTTAATACTTGTCATTCGGGGCGACTTTTCGTTCATATTAAAGTACGCCACAACAATAAACAAACATATACAGTTTCAGTTAAACTGAAATAATTCAAACTGATCCAAACTGAAGAATTGCTGAAAATTTCCTCATCAGTCGACCCATGAGTCATTGGTCGACTCATTGGTCGACCAGACAAAATGCAAAACTGATGTTTTCCCCATCAGTCGACTCATTGGTCGACTCATCAGTCGACTCATAAGTCGACTCCGACTCATTGGTCAACTGAGCAGAAAAATCCTGAGTTTTCTGCTTAGTCGACCAATGAGTCGACTCATGAGTCGACTTATGAGTCGACCAATGAGTAGACTGATGGGGAAAACTTCAGTTTTGTGTTTTGTCTGGTCGATGATGCGGCATAAACATGTACTAAAAAGGTTGCAAGTGCACAACTGTGTCAAGTTATAGTATAAAGATATCGATCCCACGAGGAAGGTATTTTGTAGAAGAAAATATAAAATCGGTTCTTATGTTGTGTGCGTGACAAATAAGATTGATGAGTGAATGTGATTGTGAAGAATTGAGAGAGTAAAAATGGTGTGTAAATAGGTGCAAAGTGTAAGTGAGAGTGGATTTGAAAACGAATGAGTATGATCAATAAGGTGAGAAGGAAAAATGAATAAAATCAAGAAACAAATAAAAAAATCAAGAATGAAGAACAAAATTTTAGAATAAAAGAAAATGCAAGAAATTAAAGATGGTGGATTCAATTATAGATATGGGTAATCTAAAATTGAACCCACTTCTTAGAAAATGGTGATTCCCTAGAGGGTTCTAGCCTAAAGGCGAATCAAACAAAATAAAAATAAACAAAAAAGAAAAACTAAACCCAAAAGGGTTCTAGCCTCAAGGTGAATAGTATAAGAAATTAAAATCTAACTACAAAATAAATTGTAAAATCTAAACTATAAAATAAAATTGCAAGAATTAAATGCAAGAAAATAAATCTACTCTATAAGCATGAAATAAATCTAAGGTAAGAGGGTTCTAGCCTCTTGGCTATTTAACAAGAAAATAAAATCTAACTACAAGCATAGAAATAAATCTAAACTAATAAGCAATAAAAAAGAAATAAAAGAGAAATGCAAACCTTCAAATAATTCTCCATCTTCATCTTCATCTTCATCATCCAACAAAGAGAAGAAGAGAAAATTTTAAAGTGGTAAAAAAATTATTATTATTAATTGTAACAAAAAGTTACAATTTTGGAAGGCCTTCTCAATT